AGAAATAAAGCTCCTTTTTTTGAAATCCCCTTTCCTCCGTTTTCTAGGTCTGAAAGTTTCTATTTTTTTCAATTTAAGGTTTGAAATCTCAATTGCTCTCTTTGTTTCTGATTCAATTTCGTTCTTATTGAGGATTTTGATAGTCTATTGCTAGATTGATTAAAAAAATTCCTCAATTTTTTTGTTGCTGGTAAAATTTTAAAGTGATTGAAAAAATGGCTGGATGGAGTGAGGAGGATCCATTCACAAAACCCATTGGAAGATGGACTGTGTTCTTCTATGGAGTTGGTCATATGCTTAATGACATTACTGCTTCTTGTTGGTTCACTTACCTCCTCCTTTTCTTGACCCAAATCGGTCTTGACCCAAGGTCAAATTTCATTTCAATTTTTGACCTTTGATCTGTGATAATTCAATCGTATAGTCAAGTTTTTGTTTTTTTTTCCTTATGTAGAGATGCAGCCATTGTTATGCTCTCTGGCCAAGTTGCTGATGGGTTTGCTACTATCTTCATTGGTGAATTGGTAACATCAATAAACTTGAGAGACTTTTCTCTGTTTTTCTGATTTAGCCATTAGGTTTGTTGTTTCTGAATTTGGTCTTTGTGTTATGACAGATAGATAGGTTTGGTCATTTCAAGCTTTGGCATGCTGCAGGATCAATACTAGTTGCAATCTCTTTTTCCTCGGTTTTCGGAGGTTGTCTGCCTTGTTCGATCCTCCATAACGACTCTTTAACGCTCGAAACCTTCTCCTATAGCATGTTTGCAGCTATCTTTAACATTGGATGGGCTGCTACTCAAGTTTCCCACATGTAACCTCATATTTCTCATCATCTTGAGCCATATACATGTTTTTTTTGGCTCTTGTGTATAACTGTGTGTGATTGCTTAATTTACTCTCCAGGGCTATGGTTAATTGCATTTCGTTGAACGCAACAAGCAGAGTAGCTTTAACAAGCTGTCGTAATGCGTTTACTATGGTCAAGCTCTTTCCCCTGATATTTGTTTAGTACCAAATATGCTTTCTTTACGTGATTCAACAATGACTAGATCGGTTTTCTTGATCTGCTTTTCAAGGTTGCTAATCTTGGCTTATACGCGATTGCTTTAGTAGTCTTTGGCATTGTCAAAGCTGGATCAAAAGAAAATACCGAAACTCAGGTTTCGTACTGTGTATTGACTTCTCCATTATGTATATATTGGAGTCACTGTTTTTCGATATTCATTGTTTATGTTCTATTTAAGTCTACAGTATTGTTGGATTGCATATTCATCTATCACAATTGGATGCTGCTTTGTGTTTGTATTTCTTATGGGGACAAAGGAGCCGAGGTATGTAATATGTATATGTTCAATTCTCTGAATTCTCGATTTTACAAGATAATTATATGAATGCTATATGCATTTTGATGTTTTAAAGGCTGAGGATAGACTTAATAAGAGAAACTAGCCGAGCAAGAATACCGTGGGTTTATTGGTTCCGGAAACTTCTATACTATCAAGTCGCTATGGTTTACCTCCTCACTCGATTAGTACTGAATGTTTCTCAGGTCGGCTTCTAATTTCTTTCTTGCTTCTGTCTATGTTCATATTGAGGTAAATTCTCACACCAAGTGTTGCATTCCATCCTTCTCAGGCATATCTTGCTTTCTTTGTTATCGATGATTTGCAAATGGATCAATCTGCTAAAGCTTTGGTAATATATTCAATATGGTTTTTTCTTTCTTTTACGTATGATCATTGTAGTTTTATAGAATTACTCTCTGATTTCAGGTTCCTGCAATTATCTATATTTGCAGCTTTGTTGTATCGGTTCTGCTCCAGGTTCAAAAATTCTCATACATATGTTGAAAGCTTCTCCTTTTTAGTTCGTTTCAGTTACAGAATTACAACTATTCTTTGTGCCTAATTATGTTAGGAGATTCCGTGGAACGGGAGACGCTTAAAGGCATATTATACAGCTGGTGGTATTATTTGGATATTCTGCGGAGCAGCAATCCTTCTATTGCCTAGAAACATAAGTTCTTTCATGTATGCGATATCCGTTTTTATTGGCATCGCAAATGCATTAATGATGGTATAACGTTCTCTACCGCTCAATTTGATATCATAATCGGTTCTAAACCATACTTATACATGTCTAGTTCAAATTCATTGACTATACAATTCCACAGGTTACAGCAATCAGTATGCAGAGTGTGTTGGTTGGTGCGGAAGTCAATGGATGCGCGTTTGTTTGTGGTTCCTTAAGCTTCTTAGACAAAATGTCTTGTGGGCTTGCTTTATATGCTCTTCAGTCACGCCAAAGTAAGTTCCTTTTTTTTCGCATCATTTAACCAAATTCAAGAACCACTTACTCTCTCACGAATCGGTTTAAGCAGCAAAACCATTCATTTCTCATCGTGTTAGCGGTTTTGTTGAAAATGTTTTTGGTTTGCAGGTACTTCACCTAGAACCCAACTAAACAACAACCAACAAAGTGTATACCTTTCGGTTACAAGATACGGTTTAGGTCTTGTTCCAGCATTGTGCTCGTTTGTTGGTGTCGCTGTAACGTTCTTTATGGAACTCGAAGCTGTTGGATCACTATCGAAGCCCCTGCTGCGTGAGCCTTTACTAGAATGACAACATGATGTTTGATTGTTTCCTTTTGGATATGTTTGATTTCAGGTCCACTAATCTTTTTACTATATACATGAGTTCCAGATTCTTTAGACGATGATCTTGTACATAGGATTAGATCACACTGACATCAATCACTTGTAACAAAAAAAAAAATATTGAAATCAAAATGTGGGAATCTCGGGTTTGATTGTTTGGGTTTTACCATTTGTATGTAAAAAATTCACAAAGATGTTTTATATTTTTGAAAATGTAACACATGTTGCAGAATCTTATGTCCTCAATGTAACACAAGTCAAAAAACTTTTTACTAGACCAACTAAGTCCTTTTGTATGGGCTTCTTATAATGTATAAGCCTTTTCGTGGTCCGCTCTAACTAATATTATAATAATTT